TAGTTAGTTAGTTAGTTAGTTAGTTAGTTAGTTAGTTAGTTAGTTAGGTTGCTTGGTTGGCTGGCTGGCTGGCTAGATGCAGGGTCTTTCTATGTAAGTCCTGGCTGCCCTGACAGTCACTATGCAGCCTGGGCTGGCCACCAACTTGTGCCAATTCTCCTGCCTTTGCCTCCTGAGTGCTAAAGTTATAGGCATCCAATATCATGCCCAACTTTACTTTATTGGGTTTTGTTTGATTGTTTGTTTGTTCATTTGGAGGGTCTTGGTTGGGATTTGTTTATAATTGTATGAGCTGATGGGGACTGGATTTGGTTTTGTTTTGTTTTTTATTTTGTTTGGTTTTGAGACAGGGCCTCATTATATGGCCCTAGCTGGCCTGAAACTCACTAGACCAGGCTAGTAGACCAGGAGGACCTTGAGAGTAGGTCCTGTCTCTGACTCCTGAGTACTGGAACTAAAGGCATGCACCACTACCATACCAAGCTGCTATTTGTTTTTATAAGTAAAAAAATAAACTGTCATAACCAGTCATCTATCATCAGTTGACAGGTTTAAGTAGGTGATGTGACTACAGTTAAGAACTTTTCATGAGGCTAATTCAGAAACATGAATCTGCATGAACAATTATATTTCCATTCTTGAGAGAAACATAATTTCATAAACACCCCTTACTTCAGACAGGCATTCCCCTCAAGCCTAACTGTTGAGAATCTAGATAGCCTACAAATAAGAGGTCTTTGAAATGTATTTTTTCCTGAAATTCTGGAACATTCTACCCTCTGGTGAGAAAACTAGAAAGCCCTTTATGTTTTAAGTCCACTGTAGGATGGCATCCATGTTTGTACTGACTTGTTCAAACCGCTGAAGACTACGCAGCAGGTGGCAGTGCACAGACAAGCTAGCAGCATGTCCAAGAGTAATTAGATGAGTGTAAGGCTTTTCAAGGCACCTTCTCCCTTTGAACTCACAGCATCACGAGTTCAGTGATGTTTCCGATAGTGTTTACAGAACGCTCTGCTTTTTTTTTTTTTTTCATACTACCTTTCAGAAGTAAATACATAGCACATCCCTACACCACAGTAAACAAAGCTGTCGGTAATTTCTATCTTCATGGAATTCAGGGTGTGGAGGAGGTGAGAAATGTTAGTCAAATAGTCTCACTAATAAGTGTATAATTATAAAGCTTGACAAGATTCATAAAGGAAAGGCCATGGCCTATGAAAGCAGAGATAGTAGACCAGCTTAGTCTGGCAAGAAAGAGACACTGAGTTGCTGGTTAATTAAGTGAAGGGGGGAGGTAGAGGAAATAGCACATGTAAAGGCCCTGGGGTAGATTCAATTGTAATAAAAAAAATAAAAGATAGGACTACAAGGGAGGGCAGACCTAGAACACCACGTATTGTAGGATGCTAAGGACCTCGGCCATCACTGGAGGAGCCCTGGGAAGCAGGGGCTAAGGGGATGGATCAATGAACAAGAGCATCTGCTTCACAAACAAGAGAATCTGAGTCAGCACTCAGCACCCAGGTAATGAGCCAGGCCCAGCTAAGCATACCCGTAGCTCCAGAGCTGTGGCAGGTGGAGGCAGGAGGCTCACCAGAGCTTGCTGGCTGGCAGCCTAGCTCCACATTCAGTGGGAAACACTGTCTCAAGGGAATAAGGAGGAGAGTAACAGAGCAAGACCACCCAACGTCCTCCTCTGACCTGCTCAAGCACACACAACACAGACATACACATACAAAGCTGTTACCATGCAGACATGGAGCACAGACACACACAAACACTCTCTCTCACAGACACATAAATACATGCACCACACACCCTCACAGATCTGTGCACATTAGTTACCATATACATCTATGCACACATCAATAAAAGTTTTAAGCAAGGAATAACATAAATTAGGAAAATTAACATCACCATCATAAACAGGCCAATCCAACTACAGTACAGAGAATGAGAAAGAGGAGGCAAGAATGGACACAGCTTAAGGGCAACCTGGGAGAGGGGGAGGAGGTCTGACTCTTGGAAGGGGAAATGTTCAGATTCGGCAGCACTCAATCCGTGCCCTCACAGCCTTCCATAGAGCGTGTGTGAATAAATGCCATGTCCAGCCACTGATGGGCAGTGGAGCCAGTCCTTACTCTAAGTGTGCCCAAAAGCAACTCTCATGTGCATGCCTCGAAGCTTCTGCTTCACTGGCTGAGTGATAAATGGGTGTGGAATATAAACGATTGTCTGGTCTGAAAATAAGATATGAAGGCGCCCCTAAATGCACGTGTGAATATATGCACTGGATAAAACCAGGACATGAAAGCAGAAAAGAGAGCCTTAAGATACACTGTGGGGCTGGCTAGAGGAGGAGCAGTTAAGAAAGATGGGAGAAAAGCCTGGAGGCCAAGCAAGGAAGGTGTGCAGGCTGAGAGATGGAGAGAAAGACCCAAAAACCAGGGCCTTTCATGGAGATCACAATCAAATCCACACACATCAGGTCTGACCCTTCAGATATGTGACTAAAAAGGCTCAGCCACGGCAAGACTCATGAGTTATCCTCATCAGCATAACATCTTTTAAAACATAAGCTATGATGAAACCCTTCTGAGACGGTTAATATTGTCAACTTGGCAAGATCTAGGTTGGAAAGACCCACCCTAAATGCAGGCAGCACCACCCCATGATCTGGGGTCCTCGGATGAAAGGAGAGAGCCAGCTGGACACCAGCCTTTATCTCTCTGCCTTCTGTCTGTGGAGAGAATGTGACAGGCTGCTGCAAGCTCCTGCTGCCTTCATATCTCCTCCTCAGTGGGCCTTACTCTCAAACTGTGAGCCAAAATAACCTCGACCTCCCTGACGCTGCTGCTGTCAGGTGTTCTGTCCCAGCAGTGAGATGCTTGCCCAGCACATGTTCTTACTGATAAAGACATGCAGAGTGCGAGAACAACCTGACCTGGGTCAGTAAGCCAGAGGGTGACTAAGCCAGGCTCTGCTGGCCCCTCCTCCTTCTTCCTGTGGCCCCTCTGCAGTAGGGTCAACTCACCGAAACCCGGTATCATGGCTTGCATCTATTTCACTTACACAAACTGATGGGCGTAAACCTGACTACACGAAACCAAACCCTACTGGGTACACCTGCCACATCCCACTCTCTGCTTACCTCTTTGATTGTGGCATTTCTTCCTCTCCAGGAAAACCACCATCTTCCTCCCTTTTTGGGCATCTTATCTCTCATGATGGATTCCACAGTGGCCTGTTTTAAATGGATGGTAACATAAATAATGGAACCAAAAAGAAAAAAGAAAAAAAAAAAAAAAAGAAAATCAACTTAGCACACTCAAAAGAAAACGTACGTGCAAATCAAAGGAGGAGACGAAAAACATAAATAAATAAAACAACGCAACATACTGTGGGTGGGCTGAAAATTTTAGAAAGGCAGAACCTAATGGCGTCCACAATCACGTGGAGGTAACCGAGGCATGAAGACTTAAGAAGATGGGAAAAGAACCAACAAACAACAAACAAAATACAACACAACAACAACAGGAAAGAAAGTGTTAGAAACCATTAGTGGTTAGTAGATCTTAAGTTTTCAAATTAAAATGGCTAACTGATTACAATAGTATTAGCTTCAATACAATGATTGCAAAATAAAACATAAAAATAAATTAAAAAAATGATCACTATGATACAGGATCCGAAAGCTGTAAAACAAAAGTCAAAATACAAAGGCTTTTTTTTTTTTAAATATATATGTCTTCAAAGTTTGACCAACTTTAGCAGACTGATTTAAAAACCAAGGGCTAAAGACAAAAATCACATGGACCCCTTGAATACATCAAAGTTTGATGGGGGAGATTAAATATAAAATAATAATTTTATAGACATTTCCAAGAAGTAACATCTGTCCTAAGGCTATTTGGGGGGCCAGGCAAATGTTACCTAATTTTCCTTCTTTCATTTAGAATGACTAAGTAGCTATTACCTCAGCTAATGAAGAAAGACTTAGTCTTGCAGCCCAACAGGACGCAGGCAGGTAGACAGATAAATGATTCACAGATTCAGCCTCAAATATGCAGTTTCTACTAAAAAAGATCTGCATCTGCCCCAGAGTACAAGCCAAGCCCACTAAAATGTGTGCACGGCACACAATGCTCACGGCAGCAGTCTACAGACACGCTATCTGCCCTCTTCTTCCACCCTGACCAAGTCCATCCACAGAAACAAGCCCCACAACCTAAAAGAAAATACCTAACAGGATTACAGTTTTCAGATGGAGTCTAAGGTTCACCAACAAACAAAAGCAGCAAAGAAAACCCTGGGACAGGATTACGGTGAGCAGGCATCAGTCCTGCAGGGATGTTAAATCTATAGCAGTCTACAAGGCTCAGTGTTGGTTCGTGAGTAAACACAGCACTGGAACAGAAAATCTAAAGTTCAGATTGAGAAACCAGCTTCAGTTCTTAGGGAAATGAAACAACCACCACCAATCATCAAGCAGAAAGCTACCTAACAATGGCACTGGGGTGACCCTGGGGTGACCCTGTGAGTCAAGCACCTGCTTCCCTCCAAACTGTGGTCCAGAACCAGGCTGCAACAAGTTCGGAGGGGATGTATGCCCGATTCCTGAGACAAAAACCCCACTTGCACTGTGCCATCCATGTTCATTCTGTCGCATTGCCAAGAACCAGTATAGAAGTAACCAAGCTTCGGGCAATGAAGCATAAAGGATCCTCCTGCCTCCATTTCTACTCCAGATGTTTTTACGTAAGGAAATGTGTGAAGTATGGTCACCGAAAATCACAGAGCCGCTAAAAGTCATAGGGCATTGACTCAACAACCTGCCAAACATTACCTCTATTATCAATAAGATACTAAATCCATGTTGAAGCTACTGATAATATTTTCCATAACAGAAAGGATCCTGATTCAGTAATCATCTGAGAGGAGGGAAAAGTGATTTGAGTCCCCAAGTCTCCCTCAATTACTCTGAGGATAAAGTACAGATGGGTCAAAGATTTAAAATAAAAGGAAAGACTAGAAGACAATGCAGGGGGTTTTACAAATGAAGATGAGAGACCATTTTTAACATGCCAGCTATGTGGCCAACAGCATAATAAAGACTAAATGCTCCCTAGAAAATCATGTGTTAGAAAAACACTGTTAGCAGAGCCCCAAAGCTCTAACCCACTAGGTCATAGCAGGTCAATGGCAGGGACTGTGCCATTCTGCAGCCTTGTGTGCCCCTTCCTCTGTAAGCTGCATCTCTATTGTACTACTCTTTCTCTTCTTACTACTTTGTAAGCTGTACCCTGGGATGTGGATACAAGGAAAAAAACCAGGCAGGAACATAACATAAATTGTTTTACTGAGCATGCCTCAGGTGGGCCCACAAATACGGAAAAGGGCTACCAAATACATAGCCACCATCCGCAAACTAAAGCACACACAGAAGGCATGCCCCGACTAAACAAAGTGTGATTTGACCCCTAAGAATCTCAAATTCTAGGACGATCTGACAGAATGCAACAGCCTTGGCCGCCAAGCACAAGGCTGTCTAAAAACTGTGAGTCCACAGCCCAAAGAACATGTTCAAAATGTAGAAGGAAGACTGGACACAGAAGAACTGAGCAATTCCAGGCAAGTGGAAGAGGAGATTAACACTGTGTGGCTGGAGGGTCCGCCTTCCTCATTCACTGTGGCCTGCAGCTACTCCCCTGTTCTCACCTGCAGGCTCTAAGCTACTCAAGCCCCATCCTTACTCCTGCCTTGGAGAACCAGGCACAGGGCTGGCTCCTTAGCAACACCTGATGACAGTGATGGCCCCTGCACCTGCCCCAGTGCCCTTCCTTTCCCACCCTTCCACCGCTATGCTTTCTCTCCTCAGCCTCACTTGGTTCTGCAGCTAGTGTCTACCCCTCTCCGCCCACTTGTAATCCTAGCATAGCAGGCGTTAGGAGTGGGATTAAGTGCCTACAATACCATGGTTTGAGAGTCTTGCCCTGGTGAGGAAGGGAAGCATAAAGTACAAGAGAGAGACATTTTAAATGTTGATGTGGGCATTCCTGAGCATCAAGACGCCATGGCCTCAGGTTTCTAAAGTCAAACTGTGATTCCCCCATTAACCCATACCTCCTTGGGCCCATTTTCTTAATCGTGTTAGCGCTCACCTTTGGCAAAGGTTTCTGGAAAGCCTGCATCGCCAGAAGTAGCGGAGCTGCTGTTGTCCAATTGTAATACCTAATGAGACAAGGAGATGGTGTCAGGACAGGGTGTAGACAGAAAGCGTTTCTACTGCCATGTGAAGTGTCGTGGAAAGGTTGGGAGCCACAGTGAAGTCCTTGAACAAGCCAGTGTGATTGCTCCCTTCCCAGCTCTCCACATCAGCCCTATCTACACAATACCTCCCTTTGTCCTATTCACCTCATGGCCATGGTGCAGGTGAAGGGTCAGCAGCAGATAAGGCAGTAAGGTGAACACACGAACATCCACTAGCTGGGCAGCAGCCAAGTCCCACTGTGTGGTCCTTCTCTAAACCATGTCCCACTGAGCTTCCTAGAGAAAGGACAGGCAACTACTCCATAACCTTCTAAGTCAATACATAAAACACTTGCAACCTTCTCGGTGGGGGAAAGTCTATCGACAGTCTGAAGACACCTCTGCATACCACAAGACTTCAGATGGTGATGTCTCCAAACTAAAGGGCATCTACGCCACTGCAACTAGGACCAGACAGGGTCAAAGTTCCACATTCTGAGCACCACACTCATATCTCATATATATATATATATATATATATATATATATATATATATATATATATATATATATATATATATGCAGGCATATACACAGATACATACACATACATGTTCATATATACATATATACATGCATGTACATGTATATATGCATAAATATATACGCATATGTATTTTATATACATGTGTGTACATACACATGTATGTATATGTATATCTGAGCATGTATGATATATATGCATACACACACTGTATACACACACTACACACATACACTTACACTGAACACACACACAGACACATACACACTCCACAAGACTCACAAGAATCTCAGCCCAGCAGCTGCACAAGAACATAGAATGGTCCGTTTCAAGGTCTGGTACAGGCGCATATTAAAATCCACAAGGCGGGACTGGGGAGACAGCTCAGTAGCTGAGGTGCTTGCCATGAAAGCGAAGAACCTGACTTCAGATCCCCAGCACCCACACAAAAAGCCAGGCCTGGTGGTATAGGCCCATAATTCCACCTGCTGGGGAGGTGAAGAGGGGAGATACCATGTGCTTGCTTGTGAGCCAGTTCAGCCAAACCATGAGACCCTGTCTCAAAAAATAAGGTAGAAAGCTGGGCGTGGTGGCACACACCTTTAATCCCAGCCACTAGAGAGAGAAGCAGGCAGACCTCAGTGAGTTCAAAGCCAACATGGTCTACATAGTTCCAGGACAGCCAGGGCTACATGGAGAGACCCTTTCTCAAAACAAAAGGTAGATAGTGTGGACCTCTGGCCTCCACATACAGACATACATATGTGCACACGTACATACATATACATATATAGGCATACACAACGTGTACACACAAACACACACTCCACAGAAGCTGTACGGGAACACAGGATTTTACAAATAATAAAGGGCAACAATTAAGTTTACCAGAGACTTCCTTACAGCCTGACAGAAACAGTACGGCGCCACTGCCAAGAGGACTGTCAATAAGAACTTACTTATTACCAATCTTGACCACAAGATTGGGGTCATCGATGATAGCAGGGTTGTCGGCAAACTGCTGATATGACACGGCTTGTTCCAAAAACGCATCTGTGGTAACAGTGGTAGGACAGGGGGGGAAAAAAATCAGAGTGTATTTCTTCAAGAAACAGGCCAGTTTTCAGCTTGCTCATTCCCATGTGTTTGCCTGAGAGTTTATGAACTGCAGTTCATCAGACAGTCCCACAGATCCTACAAAATGCACCTAGAAAGAGGGAGCTTGGGCTTGGTGTTTGTTTTTGTGTGTTTGTTTTGAGAGGGGGTTCTTACAACAGCAACAAACACATTGTGGGTGGAGCCTGCATATAGAGGCAGAGTAATGTTTCCTGGACACCAGCCTGAGCCACTTTTGTTGGGGTGACCTGAGAGGAGTGATGAGTGATGGAACTCCCCAAGCCTCAATGATCTCCCCATTAGCATGAGCGTGACAATCATGGCCACTTCCCAGGGAGTCCTAAGATGGGAACAGATGGCTATCAGCATCCTGCCCAGAATGAGGGCTTGATCAGTGCTGGCAGCAGTAACACCATTTACTGTCATCTGTGCCAAGTGCGGGAGCCGGGGCGGTGGAGGGCCCAGCACGGACCATGCTCATCCTTGCTCATCCCTGAGGAGGGCAGCCTCACCAAGCCCACAGCAGGCCCTCCAAGCAGGTAGGCTGGAGGATCAGCAGGCCCAGTCCTCAGCCCTGGACCAGAGAGCCTTTGGGTGTCTGCTAAAAACACTGACTTCCTTCAACTTCCCCATTCAGTCACGCCATGCCTTCACCCTTGACCGCAGCTCAGTCTCAATGGCCCCAATCCACACACACTCCTCCCCTTGGAGATTCTAAAGCTTTAGGTAGAACCAAGACCCAGAAGACAGCAGACACAGAGGATCACACTTGTCAGGAAGAAAAGTATCTCCTTGTCATGTCAACCCAGACTGGCCTCCACAGGAACCTTCAGCATGATAGTGGAGGCCAGAGTTCACTCTGGGGCTTCTAGCCACATCTGACTACACAAGACCTTGGAATTCCCACCACCACCCCAATGTGCACATACCAGGCAGGGAGTGCCAATAAGTTACCAGCTTCACTGCTCCTTCGGTGGGTCAGGGAGCCAGCTACCCCATCACAGCTCAGGAATATAATGGACCAAGGGGTCAGAACTGTGGTCTTATAAGATGCAAAGGATAAAAGGAACGAATTGCTAAAAAAGGGCTGGTGGCACTCAGATCAGAAGAGGACCCAATCCCCGCTAGAAACACAAGCCACTGGGGGACGGGGTGGAAAGAGAAAGCAGTAGTGGAGGGAAAGAGGAAAAGGTTCAGGAAAATTAGGTCTGGCTCAAGAATTCAACAGCTAATCGCTGCTTCTATACCAGCTACGGGTCTCAGGCACACCTCACACCATGGGTCTCATGCATCTGTCACACTAAAGCCCTAAATTTCCAGTATGACAGATGGTATGTGTAAGGCCTACCAGCACAGCAGCCTTTGGAACCCATCAGAAAAACATTTCCAGAATTCTCCAAACTGATTCAACCTTCCACCACCCCCCACACCTTCTCTCCTGTAGGACTGCAGAGATTTCACACACTCTCAAAGCTCTGTTACAGAAACCCTCACCTGCTCCCCTATTCCCCCTCCCCCAATGGGCTCACCTTGAACATTCTTCAGGGCTGGCCCTGAGCACCGGGGACACCCGACTGTGTTCAACAATCACCTCTGAGGATGAATGGCCCCAACAGCCTGAAGGCCCTTGCATCCTGACAGAACTCAGAGGACAGCTGACTGCAACCTCACACGTGTGGGGCTGGAGAACAGTGAGCCTTCCATGCACTCATCAACTACAGCCATGAGATAGAGAACCCATCCTAGAAGCCTGGGCTCCAGAGCCTTCTGACCTTCAGCCACAAGGGGGTGCCGCCACGTATAGCCTAGTACCTTTAGTGATCTCTCTGTGGTCACTGAGGCCACCACAGAGGGAGATGGCAATGGATGGCAGGTCCCTCAGGCCATCCGAGGTGCTCTCCACGCCACTGTCAATGCCCGAACTGCCCACCGACTGTGGGGACTGGTTAGCTGACCTGGCTCCATTGTCACTCGCTTGCTTGGGGAGCCCAGCAGGATCTCCACTGAAAGGGGGGGGGAAGAGAAGCTGTTCTGAGCATCCCGCCATCCTCCTACTACTATATCAAATGACCCTATAGAAAGCTGCACCATCCCAGAGAAGCTCTGTCACCTTGGGGCAGCTTTGCCATCAAAACATCAGTACATACAGCAAAGTCAAAAGAACTACCTCGGGATGGCCTGTCACATTCTCCAGCGATGCTCCAAACTCATATGAAGTAAACCCCAGAGAAGGTGTGTGCCTGGGAGGCCACTGTTACCCACCAGGGCACTGGTCCTCCCTATACCTCAGGGGAGCTATGACTAGATTGTTCCCCCAAAGACTGGGTATGACTCCCTCCAGGGAGGGCCATACAAAGGTCTCTCCCACCAATCACTACAACCCGGCCTCACGCTCCTCCATCAGAGAGCCTTGAGCCCACATTCCTGCAGAGAGGGTAGAGAACAGCCATCTCTCTCTCTCCTCTCTCTCTCTCTCGCACACACAGAGACAAGGGACAGTCTTACACAGCACAGAGCTGAGGCTGTGCCCAGGTTAAACGTGGGCCTTCAATGTACTTGCTTTCTCACTGATCAGCCAACATAAAACGGGCTGCTCTCAAGACTACACAAAATGGTATCAGGACTAGATGCAATGGCTTAAGCCTTCAATCCCAGCACTCAAGAAGCTGAGGCAGGAGGACCACAACAAATTCAAGGATACCTAGAGTTATAATTAGACTCTATCTAAAAAAAAAAAAAAAAAAAGCAGTTTGAGTAGTGAAAAGAACTTTTACTTCTTGGGGAAATACAGTGCAGCCACTTCAGGGTCCATGTCCGTGAGGTCATCCAGGTAAACGCCATCAGCTCCAAGGTGTCGACTCCGTTTATCTGGAAGAATGCATGAAATTAGTCAGAGACATGTTATCCTAGAAACCAACAGCAACTGAGCCCAGTGCTCATCTGCTCCCCAGTACCATGGCTGGTCCTGCCCCACAAGAACCACACAGTGAGACGCCGGCCAGAACATCACTGCAGAACTCCCTTCTGTGTGTGACAGTGGCATCATAGCACTCATCCACAGAGGGCCTGACAGGTTCTAAGCCCTCAATGCGGAAGCCGTCACCATGTTTACGATTAGTTGTATTAGTTGTGGCTGACAAAACCTTGCCTCAACACTTCCCTGCTGATACTCCCAAGTCACAGCACCCTACAGCTAGCTGCATGGTGGGTCCCTGGGCACCATGTCCACAGACTTCTCCTCTGCTCCCTGCTCCTTTATGTAGCTGGTTCATACAAACCCAGAGCACCTCACCAAGCTACCTGGCTAACCAGGGTGGGGCTCAGCATCACCACTGCGCAGCATGGATGGTGAGCCACTCAGGCTGCATTGTTGCTGACAGACATGGTTGGGAAACCCAGAGACATGTCTGAGCCCACACTGGGACAAGGGACAAGCCAATCTCCTCACTTGGCAAGAGAGCACCGATTGAAGATTTAAAGAACGACAGATGCCATGGATCTGGGACTTTTCTAATTTATTTGATACTCTGGGTGGGGCCTGGAGTGTCTCTGGGGGGCAGCATGCCTCGGGGTAGCCTAGGAGCCCCACGCTCAGCTCCATACCTTTTTTCCTGGAAGGCGAATCTGTCTTGCTGTGCTGTGCTGTGCTGGCAGCTGGGGGCTTGAGCTCTTCGGCCACTGGTAAAGGTGGGGCCGCAGCTCCTAAGGCCTCAAGATCCTCCTCGATCACAAACTGCATTTCCATCTGAGCCTTGCTATGGTGGACGGGCGGCCCCTGGGCCACTGTTGGCGACTGGTCACTAAAAGTGTCTGATGACTCACTATGGATGGTCTGAAAGTGAATTTTATCAGCGATCTTCCGACCCCCTAAGGGGCTGCCCTCTTTCATCTTGTGCAGAGGAGATGACTATATGAAAAGAGAGGAAGAGAGACCAGGATTGAAGAATGTTGAGAACCCAGGCAAAGAGGAAAGCTGGAGAACCAAATGACAAGAGGTCAGCAGCAATGGTTTGTGGCACTTGCCTGCAGAACCCAAGAACATGATCCCCAAAGCTTCCAGAAAAGACATCACTGCCCATGGCAAATGCTGCACCAAACACACATGGGTCGCAGGGTGTCACCTGCATTGCCAAGACTGAGTGGTTGGCTAGCACACGAGTGTCTTTGGGAGGTACAGCACGGCCCAGTGGGAGCTGTGGCCCAGAACTGAATCGAAGATGAGCAGGAGGAACGCTGTTGCTGGCTGTGACAACGCTGACACATCTAACACGTATGGCCTTCACCAGGCCATCGCTGCTGCAGATGAGAGAACACCCACCCTCCTGCCCACTCTCCCATGAGCTCTGTGCTCTCCCTGCAGTGCTTTGATTCCCATATTTTCCCTCTTCTCTTCCAAGTCTAGTCAGATCTCAGTTATGTTTATGATTATGAGAAAAAATCAAATAAGCACAGGGAAGAAGGAAAACATCAGCTGCCAGGTAGGAGTGACCAAGAGAATGAGGTACACTGAGGCCCACAGGTGCACGCAGCACCTCCCCACCCTGATGGCCCTCCGCAGAACGGGAAGTCGGTCTCATGGTGGGCTATGCTGCAGTAATGAGAATAAATGCATTCCTATGCAGGACAGTGTCGGGGAGGGGAACCCTGCAAAAGCACTCTCTCTTACTACAGGGCAAGAGGGTGGCAGGCAGCGAGGGCAGTGGCTAAAGAAACTAGGGATCTCCGTGCTGCTGGCCACGCACAGCCTGTCTGGGATCTGGGATTAGGCTGCACGGATGTTACACAGGAATTGTGAGAAGGCATACCCTGCATCTCTCTGGATACCTGTATCAGACTTCACCAATGTCCCCCCAGAAATGTGACTGAAGAGGGCTTGGTGGTGATCAGTTTGCAGGGGAAGGAAGTTTACCACCCAGAGACCTGCGGTTACAAATGAAAACTGATGTGCGCCAGTAGGGCCCTCCCTATCTGATATCCCTGGGCCGCTCCCAAACAAAAACTGTAACAGCTCTGCAGTTATAGCCCTTGGCCACAAGTGGCAGGTCTGCACTTCCACACTGTCTCTCCAGCAACCACTGATGTAAATTTGTTAAGATGGCCGCTGGACCAGCACTGAGGCTCACAGACAGGAAAATTAGAATGTTCCGAAAGAACGAAATACAAGCTGGAGGGGGAAGGGGGCATCTGTAGCTAGTTACAACAGACCTACTCTCTGTCCTCACTCATGTAAGCATAGTATGTGCACTGAAAGGAGGCTCAAGGGGCCATAACAGTCTCTAAGAACCTTGCGATATAGATATATGCATGTGCACGCATGTATTTATGTGTTTACTCGTGCATGTATGTATGTGTACTAGCTATACCACAGACATGGCCTCCCTGTGTAGAACTTGCTAGGCCAGGCCTACCTCTGCCTCCACTCCCTCCCCAGTGCAAGGATGACAAGCATGCACCAGCACGCCCAGACCTTAGTTTATTCTTAAAAGCAATGATGACATCATTTAAGATGTTTGTAATGCACTGAAATATGAGACAGAGTGTCTTGAAACAAAATATTGTCATCCTGTTTTTTTTGGAAATTTACCTACTATATACAGTATCCACATGAACTTTTACAGGGGGAGAAACTGAGGCATATCCTAGGAGAAAGAAGGTAAATACAGAGCTGGAGACATGGCTCATAAGTCAAGGGTGCACACTGCTCTTCTTCTAGTGGACCTGAGTTAGGTTCCCAGCAGCCATGTCAGGCAGCTGGCTCCCTGCGAGCTGTAACCCCAGATCCAGGGGAATACAACGCCTCTGGTCTCCTTGGGCACTTGCATTTATATGCAAAAACTAACACACATGTACAAAGACACCATTGAAAATAAATATTTTTTTAAAAGCGCTTAGAGAAGGCTTGAGGAAGCAGACTTTGTACATATTACCTCTTTTAGCCTATCTGTCTATTCTTAGAGTTTACTGATAAAGGTACTAAGGCCTCTCCTGGCCCAAGGCCACCTTGCTATCAAGGTGGAGAACTCACACTCAAGGCAATGTGTCTTCCAGATCCCCCTCACCTCCACCACACTCAACACAGGTTCAAGACCAAGATCTCACCAACTAGATGTTAAAACTACTCAGCACTGATGAGCTGAAACCTTTGCACTCTGTATTCCTGCTTCTGAGGCCCAGCTCCTTCACTGTCACTCCATCGACCTCTCCTGATCTCTGCTGCACCTCCACCCCTACCCCACACTCCCACACACAGTGGTTTTTCTCTCAAGAACATGCGTGCAAGTGTCTTCTAGCCTTCCCTGATAGCTCAGCCTTTCTTCCAGAGGGCTCAGATTCCACAGCTCCTTTCTCTCTGGTGACATCTCTCTGGTCATCACTATCCTCACGAAAGTAAGACTGGAAAGCGTTTCTCTTTGCAGCTTCTAGCTTGTACACAAGCTGCGTTGTTTTCTTTACTGACTTTGCACTCAGTTGTGATATACAGTGTAGGTTCCTATGTTCAAAATATAGTCACAAACTCCAGCCTGAACACATATTCACAGCGTCAGAGCTCTGGTAGTGCACCCCTTGGCTGTGCTGAAATATTAATTCCATGCAATTGGAGATACTTAGAAATCCCCGACGTGCTGTAGAATGAAGATTGAAAGTCTTACCTTTGCAGCCTGTGGCAATTCACCCCACAGCCAGAGCATTTCCAGGTTATTCTTCGGCATCAACCTATCAGCAGACTTATTGACCAGCTCAGAATCACTTTTTGGTGTTGAAGGCCGGGAGCCTGAAGGGCTTTAAGGAAATACAAACCCATGATTTGAGAGAGAAGAGAAAAATCTTTGGTTTGCCCCAGAGTCAATAGTTGTAGTAAGCCCGAAAACATAACCCTCAGGCTGTTCCCTCTGACAGTCCTTCCTTTGGCCACCAGAGGTCAGTGTGCACCACATCCAACAAGGTGACCAGCCTTGTAGCCAAATTGGAGGACAATAAGGAAGGAGCTCTAAGTTGGGGGGAGAGGGGAGTGATAGAATCAGAACTTGAAACTCTCAAAAAAAAAAAAAAGACTAATAAAAGGAGGAAAGAGGAGGAGGAGAGGAAAGAGACAAAACAGGGCAAAGGAGATGAAAAGTGGGGGAGGGGTTCTTGGGTACAAACTGCTGCCCTATGCCACACCCAGGCCTCTCCCCTGCGCTCTCATTTTCCTACCAAGCACCTCAGCTTTCAGTCCAGTGCTAACAGGTCCTGACCAGCTGATTCCAGGTTTAAACACTATCTTTGAGAACAGGGAAATATCTTCTATACCAACTGCATTACCCGGGATCACGAGGCAGCTGTCTGCAGGAATCTGTCAAAAGGCGTTCTGTGTCAGCCCACCGCAGGGCTCACTCTGCAGCCAGCTCCTAAGTCACAGTGCACATTTTTACTCCTAACACGTGAACCAAGTCCTGCGTCGTGTTCAGCCAAATTTGAGCCAAGCAATCAGCTCAGGTCCAGGATTCTCAGAAACACCAAGCCAAGAGGCAGAAACCTTAGTTTCCTTTCTCTTTATTCTCCCACACCAATTCAAGAGGAACATAGCCCTTTTACACAAAGCAGGAAATGGCTTCTCCGCAAACCCTATCTGTTCCCCTGGCTGAGCTTATCTGAGTTAAGTCCTATTGCCAACTCAAGATGGCATTTCCTCAGAGTGCACGCAACACCAGGCCACTTGTAACATATATCTATTTGGGAGATTTCCCACATGGATAGCCTGGTCATGAGGCCTCCATGAAGCCAGACTACAGGCTATTTGGTCCTCATGTCACAGTGAGGTAGAAAAGGCTCTCCCTTTCCCTTAGCACCCGCCGACCACTGATCTTTCCGATCAAAGTATACTGCCATAGGGCAAGCCTCATGTTCTAACCATGTCTGTGAAGAGGAGGCTTCTGGTAAATCATTCCATGAGTACTTCTACAATGGAACCCTACAATAACACCTACAACACACACACACACACACACAGTGGTGGCCCTACACCACACAGGAGAACTAGAGAAATGGCTGGAGAGGCGGAGCAGCAAAGTAAACTGCTCTCGCAGATGTCTGGAGATCCCGCAGCTCACATCCTCTTACATCAGGCAGCTCACAACTGCCTGGGACTCCAAGTCTAGGGGACCCAGCACCCACTTCTGAGCTGCACTTACACTTGCACAAAATCACACAGACCGGCAAACACATATACGCATATTTAAAAATGAAATGTTTTCCGCCAAAAGGGGGAAAGGGAGGCAGGTATTGCAGTACGCGTCTTTAACCCCAGCACTCAAGAGGCAGAGGCGGAGCAGAGCTCTCTGAATCCCAAGCCAGCCTTGTCTATGAAACAATATAGCACGTTCTAGGCCAGCCAGGGTTACATTAGTGAGATCCTGTTTCAAAAGAACAAATAAAATCCACAGGGCTGTGCGGGGGTGGGGTGTCCAGTAAATACAATTAAAAGTGAAGTCAATTTTTAAGTAGATTTGTAGAAGTTATGTTCCCCAGATAGAAATTAATCTGTGCTTGCTCTGATAATAAAGTTTCAATAGTACATGAGCAATATCCACAAAGTAAGCAATACTGAGGACTGAGAGGAGAAATCTCAAGACACTTGGCCCTAATAAAAATACAAACCCATGGCTGGTCCTAGGCCACTCTAAATTCTGTTCTAGAGCTGCTAAGGGGAGTGTCTGGGTCCATTATACAGACAGCCTACCAGGCTGTTTAAATATTTACAGTAAATGGCTTGACTTACATACCAAAGTGGTATTCTAAAAGTAGCTTGTAGGCTTGTCTGTCAAATGGCCCACCCAGAAAAGATTTGACCTCAGTCTCAGGTTCCCTGCCCTGATTTTCAAGCCACCCACTTGAACATCAGGAGTCAGGAGGCAACTCAGGTCCAGGATTCTGACAGACACCAAGCCTCCAAGAAGCAGAAAGAAATTTAAATGTTAAACAAGCATAATCAGGACTCATTGGTTACTGGTACTAGCACACACTGCTCTTTCAGAGGATCCAGGTTAAACTCCCACAATCCTTTGTAACTCTAGTTTCCAGGGGAATCCATCTCCCTCTTATGGCCTTCTTGGGCACCGCGTGCATGTGGTACACCGACATACATGCACACACACATTTACACATATGAAAGTAAACATGTTAAAATAAAATAGACATGTTTAATCACCTACTTACAACTTAAAATGAAAGGACGTACATATATTTTTCATAAGTAAGTTGATTAGTGAGTAAAATAGATTTTAAGTGTTAGATCAAAATTTCTATTTCATATCATTTGTCAGTAAGTTTCTTCACAAGTCACTGGGTAAAGGTAAAACTTAAGAGGTTAGATCATGGCTTTCTGTAAGAACTAGTCTACCTTTCCGAAGCATGGAAGTGGGAAGACTGTAGAGGGCAAGAGCTAGAAAGAACTCCCTCGGCCAGGTGAGGGGGAGTCCTCTGGCAATCTACCAGGCTGCTGGAGGCACCGAAAGATATACAACAGAAAAAAGGGGGAAAAAAAAAATCACAGGTCAGTTCAATATGATTTCTTATCCCGTTTGTCTACTCTCCGCAATAACTCTAAGAGACGAAAATATTTGGCTATTGAACAGCAAAAGGCATGTCTATGTTGAAATTGGTAGGAAATCAACATGAACTTTCTTTTGAAACAGGGTCTCCTGTTACCTAGGCTGGCCTCAACTGGCTTTGCAGCTGAGGATGGCCTTGAACTTCTGCCCCTCTTTCCCAAGTGCTGGGAATGCAGGCATGACCCACTGTGCCTGGTTTTATGGGATAGGGAGAGTATCCAGAATTTTCACATATGCTAGGGAAGCACTCCAGCCCATCAGCATGAACTTTCTGGGATGCAAAGATAGGAAGCTAACAAAAGACCCATTGTGTTTCCCATTTCATCTTTGTCCCCTTAGCTAAGTCAAGATCATTCATGTCTAGCTGCAGCTCAGCACTGAATCAAACTACATGATTAAAGACTTGAGCATGGGTTCTGCCTATTGTTTCCTTAGTAAAACACAACATTCTGAACGTGGACGGGTCTATTTATCTTAATGTGTGATCCATTTTACAACAGCCACACAATCTGATGCCGTCAGCATCCTGGAGTCATGAAGCAAACAAGAAAGACAGACTCTCCAGCATGTTTTGAACATTCCTTTTATAGTCTTCAGGTTTTTGGATAGGTTTTTCCATTGGCTAGCCATGTCTAAATTACCTGCACTGTTTTCTTCCTAAATCATTATGCTTTCTCTTCATGGGGATTATCTCTCCTGAACCAGGACAAGAACACAGGATAAGAACAGGCATCTCGGAGATGCCCTGTCCTGTACAGTGAACCACACTGCCCATGTACAGCCAGATGAAACTGACATGCACCGGGTATGAAGAAAGAATCACTGACCTTAAAGATTTATTATAAAAACAAGATTTGCAATATCCCATTAATGTTTTTAAGCTGGCTGCTCTGTGCAATGTGGGTCAAATAAAACCTACCATTAAAATTAATTTTACGTTTTTATAAAGATTTATTTCATTTTTATTTGTGTGTGTGTGTGTGTGTCTGTGTGTGTATGCTATGTGTGTACAGGTGTCCACAGAAACCAGAAGAGGGCAAGGAACCTGAAACAGGAGTTACAGGCAGATGGAAGGCACCCAGAGTGTGTTCTGGGGATCAAACTCATGTCCTCCGGAAGAGCAGGAAGTACTGCTCTTCACCACTGAGCCATCTCCCAGCCCTATTCACCCCTGTTTGTTTTTTGTTGTTGTTGTTGTTTTTGTTTTTTTTTTTTAATAAATCTTCTAAGCACATATGCTGGTTAAATGTTAACTGTCAGCTTGACCGAATCTATAATGACCTGGGAGATGGGCTTCTGGATGAGCATGCCTAGGGGGATGACTTTGATTTGGTTAACTGGGAGACCCACCCACTGTGGGTGGCACCAATCCCTGTGGGATCTGGGACTCCATGAATGGAGAAAGGGGGCTTCGTAACAGCATACAGTCATCTCTCTCTGCTTCCTGCTGGTGGATGCCATGCTTCAAGCTCCACCTTGACTTCCCTGCCAGGAAGAACTGTACCCTTGAACTGTGAAGCAAAATACACTGGTCTTCCCTTAGGTTGCTTTTGTCAACAACTTATTTTATGATAGCAATAGGAGAAGAAATTAAAACAACACATATAACAGAAAAATGTTTAAACCATATAGCTGTAGCTACGCCTTAGGTACCTAATGGAAGAGCTGATCTCTAAGCAGGCAGATGTCCCATCCCCACCCCCACCCCCTGGAAAACAAACATTTCCATCAGTCCCAGCCGGAACCAGGCATGAGACACAGTATACTTTCAACCCATGCTGCTGCCTGATTCTCAAGATGACCCTGAGGAAACTAACCAAGAGGGGTGCTTTGACAAGGCTGGCAGCCCATGCCCGGTCCCAGGGCACAACCACTTCTATTCTAAACTACAAGTAAATCTACAGCATGAGTAGAATAGGCCCAGGGATGCCATGACCATCATGTTTCTCAGCCTCTTTTTCACTGTCTCCACATCCCCAAGCATCTTGAGCAAGTTAACAACCTGTCCTCCACCCACCGTGATGTTGAAAGCTGTGGTCCCTTAGAGGTCACAAACTGCTGTCATGCCCAGGATTTGTCTGAGCCTGTCCCACAGAGAACACAGGATTTGGACCTTTGCCCTTTCTAGGTTCTTGGCAGAACAATTCCAGGGGGCCTCCTGTTCTTATAAGTTCCATGGGCCTGAAAGTTTCTGGAATCTTCAGGAAGGTCACTAGTCCTCTATGCAGCTGCTGCTCGGTCCTGGTCGACATGGGCACTCCAGGACAAGTGGAAAGGGCATTTCAGGGAAGCATGTGGTCCTGAAGCCAAAGTGTGGATTAACTGTAGGGCAGCACCCCTTTGACAGCGCTTAATGACATCAATGTCTCCACATTTCACTTCAAGGCTAAGTAAGAACCCTGCTGCCAGAGGGTACTGGGTAACTCAGCAGGTATTTTTATTTCTTCCTGCTATGCCTTTCCTTTGTAGTATATCTGAGATGACATCTAAATTCAATACAAGTCTTGAGATTTGCACACCTTCCACATTAAATCCTAATCTATATCCTCCCACACACACTAAAGATTTTCTGATCCTAATAATTTTCAGTTTTAGTTCCTATTTTATTATTTTCTTAGACATGCTTCCTATAGCTGACTTCTAAACCCTCTGGACAAGAAAAGGCAACCTCTGACACGCACAGCAACTTACCTGGGGCTGGGAGACCACTCTCTATCCGAATTGGGGTATGACGCTGACTGGGGATATGTTGAAATTGAGGGGAGGTTTTCGTTAGGAATATCGTCTTGGAATGATGGCACATCAGTAGGAAGAGTTCTGGAGAAATTAAAAAAAAAAAACAAAACTAAATTACCAAAAGCAGAGTCATAATAAAGCTAAGTTTCTTCTTGATTACATCAAAGGGCTTCGTTAATTAGCAGGAAGGCCACTTGTCCTCTCTGCAGCTGCTGCTCGGTCCTGGTTGACATGGGCACTCCAGGACAAGTGGAAAGGGCATTTCAGGGAAGCATGTGGTCCTGAAGCCTGTCTGTCACACACTTAGACACATTCTAGAAAGTGAAGACGGAAATAGAAGAGAGAAAATGTCTGCATGGGTAAATATGTTTGTTCATCTGCCTTGGGTGGATTGTAAACTTAAAATGATTTTATCAGAGTATGAGCATAAGGACTATAACAATGAAGGACCTCTGTAGCATCCTTAAGCGTGTGTGTGCACCTTTCTATCATCCTCAAAGCATGTGTATGTACTACTGTAGCATCAAGTATATGTGGACTACCATAGTGTCCTCAAGTGTGTGCATACCTCTGGTAATGTCGTGTGTATGCGTGTGTGTTCAGTGTAGCATCCTCAAAAGTTGGTGTGTACTCTGTAGCATCTTCACCTATGTGTGGGCCACCGTACATCCGCAAGTGTGCATGCCTGTGTGTGTGTAGCTGGGGATGGAACCCAGGACGCACACTTGTGTAGGTAAGCATTCTACCACTGAGCTGCTGTCTCTTAAATTTTGAAATAGGGTCTCAGTAAGTCACCCAAGCTGGTGATCATCCTTTCCTCAGTCTCCCCAGTTCCGGGCTTCCTGGTGTGTGCAGCCACACCTGGCATCTTGTCACCTTTCACATTTCCCTCACCAGAGCCCAAGAGGCAGGTCAGCTAGAGGTGTATCCAGGTGTTCCGTGACGTTCCCATGCACAGGGGGACTGCCATTCAAATAAGCCCACGTAAAACATGTCTCATTTCTAGCCAATGAGATAAATGGCATCACGCATGAGGATCTCTGAGTTAAACATGACTGTAAAACTCCCTAGCTTGAAGTAGGAGCAGATATTACAGCACACGGTTCAGGAGGCCACTCCTGCAGAGTCCATCTGGCTATACCTCTGATGCTGCTGCAAGCACGGTGGTTGGGTTCCGGAGTTGGAAACGGAGGAGAGGCCATTATAACTAGCCAAAACCAAACAGCCTCTATTCCCGCAGCAGATTAGAAGTTAGTCAGGAAAGGCAAGGATGCTAACAAGCTTCTAGTGTAGGTCAAAAATTATATATATTTGAGAACTGGGGGGTGCAGCTCCATTGGTTGTATGCCTAGCATGCACGGAGCTGAGTTCCATCCCCAGCACTTGGGATGTAGAGGCAGGGGAATCAGAAGTTCAAGGTCATCTTCAGCCACATAGGACCCTGTCTCAAAAAAGAAAAAATAATTCCCTCTGCACAACGAAGCAGAGGAATATTCCATTCCTTATTTCCTTATCCCTGCTTTATGTTAACAAGACATAAAAATTATCAAAAGCCACATGGAATTATAAAATTTGAGACAGAAAATATTCTTTAAGAATTAGTTTTCTATACTGGCTTTTTTCCTACCAAAATACAATGTATATACACAGAGATTGGCTACAGTATTAGAAGCAAAAAATCAAACAAAACAAAACAAAAAAAGATGAAAGGAGAAAAGCTCACAACTGGGAGCGTAATTCAAATTATAATGGAAAGGTTTGCTTAACGTAAAGTGAGTGTGAGCTCCTGTCATTTTCAGCACTGAGCTGACCTCACCTACAGATCTGCCTCAAGGCCTCACACAGAGTTAGGGCTCAGAGAACAATAACCAGAATTGGGGCAGCCAGTGAGGGGTAAAGGGTGCGACTCCAAGATAGAACAATGGCTTAACATACACAATGCCATAGACTTGATCCTCAGCACCAGTAAATAAATAACAAGCTCCCAGGAAACAGTTTTGTTCATGAAAGGCTCATTTGCCCGTTCCTGTTTCTTGACTCTATTTTAGACGTTATCAGCCCAGAGGTGTGGCACAACCAATTGTTTCTTAGGTTAAGAAACTAGAGCAAGGCTTTATTCTTCACTAAGTTGAGCCCACCACCTGATTGCAAAAATTTGTCTAAGACATCTAACAGAATAAAAAGGTTTTTTTTAATCTTTAAAAATTAATGCCTTTAGCACTAGTTGATAGAGTACTTGCCTAGCACACATAAAACCCCAGGTTCAAATGCAGCCCATTTAACAGTGCATGATGGCATGTGACTACAAGGCCAACATTTTCAAGCAAGGGGCATGATGATCAGACATTCAAGGTGATCCTCAGCTACAAATTCAGTTCAATTTGCCAAAAAAAGAGAAAGAAAGCAGCTCGTCCTCCTCCAACACAGACCCTGTCCTCCCTCGCTGCTTACCTGCTTCCCTCTGTGTCCTCATCGGAGCTCATCTCTATGGGAAACATGTCCTCATCCTCAGATGTGTTAACATTGTCATCTCTTTTGAGATTGTCCAACTGAGACTTCCTCCTCCTTTTCCTTCTCTTCTTCCCCAGAGAACCCGTAGATTGGGAGTCACAGGGAGGCAGGCCCTGGGCAGCAGTGGTGGGGTCCAGACCCCTGATCCTATCCACGGAATTCCTCTTCAGCTGGCTTTCCATTCTCGACGCTCCTTCCGACAGGATAGGGGACGTTGCCAGGTACATGGGGATGACTTCCTAAGCAGGACAGGCGTTGAAGAGCACCGTTAATACGGGTAACAGAGAAGACTTATGTGGGGGAGAGCCACAGCAGGACAACCCACAGGGAGGCATTGAACAGAGGGTCAGAGTTCATCAGCTCCTCAAACCCTGCTCTGTACTGAACACAACACTCATACAACTCATAATAGAGCCACGCCATTACCAGTGATTTCAAACCACCAAAACTCATCTAAATTATCCAGGGCAGAGAAAAACGAGGGCAGAGTCATGGCACTGTTGCTGGGACCTGATCGCAGTTTTATGTTTTATTTTGTCTGAGTAAATGTGTACGTGTGTTTGTGTTCATATCACAGCTCTGGAATGCATGAGACCCAGTCTTATTGAAAAAAAAAAGAGGAAAAAAAAATCAGATGACAGCTCTAGTCTATGGGCCTGTTGTTCCAGAGCACGTCCAGCTGTGTAGCCAGTGAGGCAGGAGACAGGCACTCCTCAGGAAGAAATATAGAAGGGTAGAGATGGCATAAGTATGGGGGGGTAATTGGTGATAGCACACAGGTCTCAGCTTCTAGCAGGCTCCCAGCATCCACCGGTGCTGAGCTGGCCTGCTGGTCCAGGGCATACGAGCCCCAAACGACTCCTCATCTCCTAGAGCCTACAGTGGGCCTCAGCCAGGAGCAATGGATGGTTATAATAATCTCAGCTGGTAGACTCAGGGCTTCCCATTTAGACAGGAGCTGCCTGGAGGCTGTGCGGGGTGCAGCAGACAGTGGGGCAGGGAGCAGCCCTTGGCTTCCAGCCCAGAAGCTGTCCCTCCAATAGATAACAGGGAGGCACCTGCCTGGGGCAGTTAAAATTGCAGACACTGGTTTTAGTGTTTGAGGCTCCAACAGAACCTCCTTTCCGGGAAGGAACCAGCCTAAGTGTGTTTAGCAAGAAACTCCGGCACAAGATTGCTTCGTGGGAGCTCCTGACAGGCTGTTGGCTACCTCACTGTAGCACTCTCCACCCTGCCGCACTCACTGAACCCGAAGCTGGCTGTTTCAGCTAGGCTGGCTGGCCAGCCAGCACGTTCTCTGGACCTGCCTGTCTCTGCCTGGCAAGGCTGCTTTTCTCAACATTGGTGCCTGAGATTCAAACTCACGTCCTCAAACTTACACAGCAATCACTCTTGACTACCAAGGCGTCTCCCCATCACAGACCCTCAAAGGGTTAAACATGAAGCCGCCACACAACCCAGTCATTTCACTCCTAGGCACACAATGGGGGGAAGCGTGCGTTCTCACAGAAACTGGAATCTGGATGTTCACAGTGTCACGTTCACCAGCCAAAAGGTGGCAACACCCCAAGATGCTCAAGAGACAACTTAGGTAAATGAAATGTGCTATCTCAAGCCATTCAGCCACCAAAAACGCTAACAGTTCAGCCCCAAAAGTTGGCTCAGTGGGCAAAGCATGTGTTGCTGAGCCTGACAACTCAGAGTCCCATCTCTGAGTTGGTGAAGGAGAGAACCAGCTCTCAGAAGGTGCCCTCTGACAGGTAAGTCCTCACTCTGATGCCAGCATCTACCGGGCGAAGGGCCCAGAACTGCCTTTTCCTCGGGTGTGCCTGCTGTGTCCCCACACGCTGTAGGGGCCCTGGATCCCAAGGCCTCCTCACCTGATCATTGTCCGTCTCTTCAACGAAAAAAGCTTCTCCATTGTCTCCCAGCTTCATGTGCAAATCCACAGACTCTCCGTTGATTTCTATGTCCACCTGAAGGGAGAAGATGGTGAAGGACCCAGTGCGCACCTCAGGTCTCAGGTGGTGTCCCTCATCCAAGCACACCTGCCCTGAGCACTGGGGAGGTGCCCTGGGGAGGTGGGGAGGGAACTTGGGTTTCCAAACATGGCTACACTGGTCCTTTTCAATAGCCCCAATGCTGCTGCAGAACCTTCCCACTGCCCACCAGCATGCACACTTCTCCTCTCTCCAAGGATGAGGAAGGCTGTGATTGCCACCCAGCCAACAGAAGAGAAGAGAAGTGACCCCATACGGCTTCTGAAACCAGGTCATAAAAACACCATGTCCACCTATTTCCTCATAAGCAGCCACCACATGGAAAGGGAGCCATACCATCTGGAAGGTATCTGGGTGGTAGTCCAGAAAGACAATGGACAGGAGGGAGCAGGTGGTCAGCCCTGACTTTTCCCTAGAAGTGGCCTACAGGCCACCCTGCCCTGCTGTGACATTCCCTCCTGCTGTCCTGCCTGCTGTGCCTTCTGAGCCTCAGACTTGGTGGGCACCCCTCTTAGAGGACCTGGCACTGCCATGGTAATGGAAACAATGAGACCATTAGTGAGCATTAAATTATGTAGCTAGGCATTTTGACCGGTGGCTCCTGAGAGCTCAGGGCAGGAGACCGCACCCCCCTGCTGCTCTTCTCTGAGGAGGAGAATGGAGGGGCCCATGCCTCACCACTTTCTCCCGGGAGCGCAGGACACCCATCTTCCCGAAGCGGACGTGGAAAGGGGAGCACTGCAGACTGCCGTTGGGCTGGCGGATGACGATGATGTCGATACATCCTGACAGCGTGGCAGGGTTCAGTCCCTTGTAGAGCTCCTTTACGGTCACAAACACCTGGCCGGCCAACTGCCCCACGTAATTCATTGTCTGAACCTGACAGACGACAGACAGACAGATCACACACAGGTTCACGAGAGCAGTTAACATTAGACGGCCACCCACAGTGTCCAGCTCGGCACTCCACTTCAGGGACGCAGTGTGCTCATTCTATTTTCACACCTTGCCCACATCACTGTTTCCAGAATGTTCTCTGAGACACCCCTGCGACAGCCCATCTCTCCCACGCCTTCAAGCCCCACATCCTTCCCACCACAGGGTCCGGCACGGAGAGGCCCAGGTATCCCAACCGAAGGTGCCACTGGGCTCAGTCCATGCATCCCGGGATGGCGATGAATGTGACCTGCCACATCTGTGTTTGGCAGTGTTGTCTCAGTGTCAAACACAAGAATCCGTGGGCAGCAGAAGTGAACTGGCTTGAGCATCTGAGACCTCAAAGCCTGACCCCAGAGTGACACATCCCTCCAGCAAGTCCATATCCACGCCAACAAAGCCACACCTGCTAATGGTGCCATGCCCTACAGATTCAAGATGGAGCTCCTTCTCCAGCACCACCTCTGCCTGCATGCTGCCATGCTTCCTGCCATGACCTAATAGACTGAAACTGTAACACAGCCCCAATTCAATGGTCATGGTGTCTCTTCACAGTAATGGAAACCCTAGGTAAGACACTGCTGAAATCCATCTCCGACGAAGTCTGAGAGCTGCATTTGCCTGTGTGTGTAAGCACTAAACCGTTCAGGGGCTGGCAAGATGGTTCTACTGGTAACAGGCTTGCCACCAAGCCTGAAAACCTGAGTTCATTCCCCAGGACCTGCATGGAGGAATGGGAACCAACTCCCACAGATTATCCTCTGATCCTCTGACATACAGACCCACAGGCACAAACTAATGTCATAAATATTTAGAATTCAGTTTAACTCTGTGTCCATTTCACAAAACATCACTAGAAGACAGCCAGCTGATACAAGTAGAATGGCAGCTACCAGGCCTGGGAGGGAACAAGAGACTTGCAGTGGTGGATGATGGGTTTCCGGTGCAGGAGGAGTGCACTGATGGCTGCACACTTCAAAACGACTTAAGGGCTGGAGGTGCAGTTCAGTTGGTACAGTGCTTGTCTGGCATGCATAAAGCGCTGGGTTCAATCCCCAGCACTGCATAAACCAGGTACAATGGTGCAGCCTGCAATCCCAGTACTGAGGCGTTTTGTTAAAATGGGAAAATCAGAAATTCAAAGTCATCCTAGGTTTGGGACCAGCCTGGACTACATGAGGCCCTACCTCATAAAACAAGTTAGAAAGACCTGAGGTGCAAGGGACAGCTCCTCCCCAGGAGGCATGTGACAGACGGTGGTCTTTAACAAGCTAGAGTAAGCCAGGTCCTCTCAGGTATCTTCTGGGCTCAAATTAGGCAAGGTGGGTGGACAGGGCTCTTCTTTTTCTGCCCTGGTACTAAGGCTCTCTTCTCAATAAGCCCTGTGGAGTTTTCTTTTAAAAGTTCTACACAATCAAACCACTAAACAGAGTTCTAAATTTCACTTACTTCAGCTGCGCTGGCATTGAAAAGCTCAAAGAAGAGGCTGATTCCATTAACCTGAAGACGATAAGCAGCCAGAAGAAACCTGCCCAGGCAGAGGAGCCTCCCACAGTCCCATAATCCCATTATTCCAGTGGGGGTTCAGCTTCCCTGAAAGCTCTTGAGGGAGCAGGAAGGAAGAGTTTAGATCTGAGTGAGAAAACATCTGGAGAGTTCCAGGGTGAGAGGCAATCAGAGCAACCAAAGAGAACAAATGATGCTGACAGTTCTCCAGTGGGCCTGCTTGAAGACGCTGCCCACCTGACTGCCTTCCAGTCTGCTGGGTTCATCTTGACACTTGACAAGATGGTGCACCTGGCAGCTCCACATGCTGGAGACGGGATTCTGTGGTGCCTGGCTCTGATGTATTTTTGAAGGAGAACGTCACTAGGTCTTATGGAATTCTCTAAAGCGGTGGGTCTCAGTCTTCCCATGGCTGTGACCCTTTAATACAGTTCCTCATGAGGTGATGACCCCCAACCATAAAGTTATTTTCGTGGCTACTTCACAGCTGTAATTTTGTTACTGTTGTGAATTGTAATGAAAATATCTGACATTACAATATCTGATATCTGATTTAAGACCCCCATAAAAGGGTTACGACCTCCTGGTTGAGAACCACGTCTTTAAACCTAGACAGTGCCTCTGGGAATTCTGCAGTGATAAACTACTTGGATTTCTTTTCCCCCTTTAATGTAGCTGCTTCTGGGTTGGCATTCTGAACCAACACTAAGTTCCCTGAAATGCCATCTCTAGATAAGAACTTCCTAGATAAAAGTGGAGCTTACATTGGCAAGGAAACCACACTTCAAGGCCTCAACCTGGAATTGGAGGGTACACACTCTCCCTCATCAATCCTGGCATTCTGCAAGTGCTTGGCACAGCTGCCATCCATCTCAGACTGTCCCAGACATGGCCTCAGGACATCATCAAGTCTCATGACTCCTCACCTAGTTAGGACATTAGAAAAGTCTACATTTAATCCAAAATTGGCAGAATCCATGTGCAGACTTCGTAAACTGCCAAGAAATGCTTTTTTTCCTTTTCCTTTGATTTTTGTTTGTTTTAAAAATCTGCCAAAACTAAGAATCCTGCCATAGCTCTCCTAACTCCACAAAATGTGTTAATGCCATTCCACCACCTGGAATATTAAAGCCTCAGGCCAGCCCCATTGAAAATATGTCACAATAACATAAGGGCTCAGAAGATGATAGAAGACACCTGGTATGATGAATGGCCCCCAGAAATTCGTGTGTGTGCATGCGTGTGTGTGTGTGTGTGTGTGTGTGTTTGGCCCATGGGGAGTGGCACTATTAGGAAGTGTGGCCTTGCAGAAATGGGTGTGACCTTCTTGGAGGAAGTGTGTCACTGTTGGGGTGGGCTTTGAGGTCTACTATGCTCAAGCTACACCCATTGTGGCACACAGTGTCCTTCTGCTGCCTAGGGATCAAGATGTAGAACTCTCGGATCCTCCAGCACCGTGTCTGCCTGGATGCTGCCATGCTTCCCACTATGGCAATAATGGACTAAAGCTCTGAAACTGTAAACCAGCCCCAATGAGATGCTTTCCTTTATAAGAATTGCCTTGGTCAAGAATTGGCTTGGTGTCTCCTCACAGCAATGGAAACCCTAACTAAGACACTTGGACAATTATGTATGAAGAGTTCATAAGCCCAGATTCACACAGGGAATCAAGAGAGGAATGGCTCAGTCCATAAAGCACATCAAAAGCATCCCGGCACCCACATAAAAGCCAGGCATGAGACACTGCGGAAAAGTGGGGAGGGACAGTCAGTCCAAATGAACCAGTAGCCACAAGTGCAGTTAGGGGGCCTAGCTCAAAAGATAAGGTGGACCTAAGGAAGGGAATGTCAGTCTCTGGCCCCAACATGTACACACCCACCTGCGCACATACATACCCACCTACACACACATACAGCTGTAAACACACTCCTCCAATAGACACCTACGCATGCTCACATACACAGGCACACATCTGCATACACACACTTGCACATAAGTATATACACACCCACCTGAGCGCACGTACCTGCTCACAGAGACACACCCACTTGCACACACATGCGCAAAATAAGGCCTTTCAAAGACCCCAAATAAAAACATTCCATAAATCCTCGAATAGATTCACAAAGCATACGCTCAATACTCCAGTCATTAACACAACAGAGTCCTAAAAAGAACTACCCATTTGGCACATACTAGCAAATCCCAGCAATTCCACAGCAAGACTTGAGTCTTCAAATTCAGGATCATGTTTTCAGTATGTGTCTGCGCACAGGCATATGTCACAGCACAAATGACCTCAGAGGACAACTGGTGGGAGTCAGTCCTCTCCACAGAACTAGTGAGAGTTGAGTTCTTTATTTCTTTCGATGAATGTGGGTTCCAGAAATCGAACTCAAGTCATCCAGTTTGGCAGCAGGCACCTTTACCTCCTGGGCCATCTTACCAGCCCCCAAAGAGGACCACCTTTGTGGGAGGAAGTGACCAGAGACTGACTGTGATGGGGGGAGGGAAGCAGAAGTCGCTTAAGATCAACAAGGCCCTGGATTAATAAATTATGGACCATCCGCATTATATATGGAATAGTATGAGCCTACTAGGAGCGGAAGAGAGTTGTACGCTCCGCAAATATCCACACTCACAGGGCTACCAGCTGCCAGCAAGGGGGTGGGCAGGAGACCTTGACTTTTCCATACCCACAAGCATTGCTTTCACATCAGTTTTTAATGGGGAGTCTGAAAAGTCCTGTACACTGGTCTCGGAGTCTCCAAGTCAATGAAAACCACATGAAAAGGACATGAAGGAGCTGGCGAGATGGCTCACAAGGCAAAGGTGTTGCTGGCAAGCCTAAGGATATGAGTTCAATCCCTAGAACCCACCTAAAGGTAGGGGCAGAGAAAAGACACTGACCTCCACACTGTCTCTGACCTCCACATTCATGCTGTGACGTGCACAATCTCTCCTCTCTCTCTCTCACACACACACACGCATACATTTTTAAATACTGCTTCTAATAAGGTTCTCATTAACCTTCATTTTAAAAGAAATGAGGCAGAAGCGGCAGGGACAACTAGGGCCCTGCTCTGGCAGGAAGGTTGGCTAAGTGACACTTGGACTTCTCAGAGCCCAGTTCTGGCAACAAGCAGGCATTATAATCCCAGGTAATGAGTGTTCTCAGGTCCCTGCCAAGAAGCACCCAGGGCTTGGCCAGCAAGACAGGGACACACAGAAGACACAGTGTGGCCCCTGTGCTCTGTGAAGCCTCCCTGGGTTGGGACTCAGAACCTCAGCCCTTAACCGTTAGCTCCCTTGCAGGGCACATGACCTTTGTTCTCCTCGGAAGCCCCAGTGTCTTTTCACACACTTTCGAGAACCCTCTGTGGAGATGCCCATCTTGGTCAAGAATGTTCCCATCCTGAGACCTTTGAACATCGCTGAACCTCCCCCTCCAGTCCTGCCCCAGCCATCAGTAACAGTCACACTTGCCCTGAGTGTCCAAGAGGAGGGTGGTTCCGTTACCTGTAGGATGGGTGATTTAAACGGCACCCACCATGCAGAGGTGCTAGGAAATAGCCTATGTATGGTGTTTTCCACAGTTTACACTCCAGGTAAAAACTAGGTACTGACCCAATGGTGGCAGACAGCTCCAAAAAATACTGCACTAAGTCTCTCCAGCAGAGCACTTTTGCGTGTATTTAAATTTAAGTCCCTCAGATGTGCCTACGCAACACAAAAAGGCAGAGCAGGGGACACTACTGTATCACATAAATACTGGGATAGTGAAGGGTATATTCATGTTCCACAATACCATGGTTTCAGGCAGGCAGGGTATGGTGAGACACGCCTGTGACTCTATAGCCAAGAAGGCTGAGGCAGGATGATATTGAGTTCCAAGGCTAGCCTGGGCAAAACAGTAAGGTCAAGACCACAGTTCCGAGTTCACATACAAGGGCTTCCAAGTACAGCCAAATCACCCACCAGTCTTCATTGCTCCCTTTCTGGTTGCTTTTCATAAGGCTCCAGAAGCCAGAGCTGTTCGTGTGCAAAGGACAGCCACCAAGCCCATAGGGCCAGCCATGCTGGAACAAGGCAGGACCCCCCTAGACATCCCGCCACATACTTGCTCAAATCAATTTGTGTCATTATTGGTCCCTTTCAGACCCTGAACCTAAAAGGGAAAAGACACAGGAAAAATGGATTCACAATCTAAGGTGAGAGAGGGGTGAGCCAAAGCAGCTAGCTCAACCACAGGCCAGGGGCTAGCCTTCGCTAGCCAGGACTAGCACAGGTCTACAAAGGGCCCTCAGTGGTACCCTGAATTTCCCCCATTGGAATACTGAAGTCATCTCAGTTCACTTGGGCAACAGTCTGGCCAATGAAGTGTGTTTTTTCCATGACTCTAGATACAGAAGCTGATAAGCAGGCTCCACCAGTGACGTCCCTGGCCCACAGAGTTCCAGCTATCAGTGGTCAGCTGTCTTGCTATCTCCTGACTGAAGCCCCGAGAGCAATAGATAAGCAAAGACCTGGCCCAGCCCCACCAGCAGACACCTCACCCCACTCCGGACAGCAACAAAGGATCCCATCTCCCTTATCTGTGCCCCAAGTTATCACCCAGGCAACAAGACCGGGCATGTTGTCCCTTTCACCGCCACTCTACTTTCCAAAGTGGTAAGTATCACAAGAACGTTGACAACTGGACCTAAAGAGGGTAGAAGTCGCGTGGGGGTGGCACAGCCACCAAGACAGAACCAAACTCAGGGCCCAGGCTTCCCAACCCAACCACCAGGCCCTACACAAGTAGGGAAAAGGGCCAAAAACACACACCCACACACACACAAAACCCGTGACAGCAGAAGCAATGTCAGCAAACAGGAAGCTTTGTCAACATGGGAAACCAAACACACTGGGATCTTTCAGCCTTTCTGGGAACACTGAAAAGTTCCCTCACTGGTGTACATATCAGCCCTTAATTAGTATGCATTCCTAAACTGCTTCCATTCATAAAACGTGTATTACGGAACAAGGGACGGATAGTAAATGTCTGAATCCTCAAGGGCTGCATCCTCTCCTCCAAAAACCGTTACGGGCTCATCTTCCCCAGAACTTCACTATTCTATAGGAAGCAGCTGTGTCTCACGCTCCCCAGACCAGACCTGCCCAGCGCTTTCACTCCTGCTTCCTGCCAAGGAGGGTGGACTTCTGCAGCAACTACTGACCACACAAATGCTCAGGCAGCCACCTTGACTCTGTCCCCGTGCCCCCCCACACACACACACCCCAATACTTAAGATGACTTCCAAAGCGTTGCTTTTCCTCCATACTCCCCTGGCCTTCCCCAGGTAAAACTATCTGCAGCTCAGGCCGGTGGAGCCGCAGGCCCAGCACCCACTAGACTGCAAAGCTGCGTGGAG